GCAGGGCTGACTATTACAGTCACCCCTTCTGGGGTTTCACTTATGCCCAGGTACTCTGGGCATATGAGACTGTTTCTCTCTGTCTCACACAGACCAAACAGTTTGTCCAATATCATACAAGAGAGAACCAGCTGATGTGGCACTTAGTGCCATGGTCTAGCAACCGCAGTGGTAGCGGATCAGGGGTTGGACTTGATGATCTCGGAGGTCCCTTCCAACCCAGCTGATTCTATGACTCTATGATGAGGTGTGATCAGAAAGAGTTTGGCAAGCCACAATATCCACCCACATTTTAACTAGGTGCTCAGAGAAGCCTGTGACATTTAACCATGCAAGACAAAGCACAAAAGTTTCCTATAGACTCTACCTTTGAGCAGAAAGTGTGCACCAAAAGAGAACACACCAACTCAGTATGCAGCTTACCACTCTGTGCCAATACGAATAGATCCTAAAATACATTCCCAGCACTTAAACAGCTGTTACCTGCAGGTCTCCTGCATCTGGTGCCGGGATGCTCTGGCAGCTAATGCTTCTAAAGGTCAGATCTTTACATGCTAAGATAAGGAAAAATCCATTTTAGTCCCCAAAGGTGCAATTGCTACTCACAAGGGTTATTCTATGACACTGAAAAAACATAGCAGGAAAAAGCTTGATCACACACTCTTGTACTGCAGTAATGTAGATATGGTTTACCTGATCCTGAGTTCTCTGAAGAACAAAATGTGAGTATAAGGAAAAGAAAGACACAGTAAAGTCTTGAAATCTTCTTTCCATTTATCCCAGACAAAATATTTAAGGATTACTACTGGTAAGTCTTACTGTTCTGTATATGTTTGAGGAGATGACAGGAGGTCTTGCTCACCAACACATTTGAATTTGACAAGATCAGTGGAAATTATCAGTTTTATGAATCAAAAATACTTAGACCTGACCTTACTGAAAGTAACTGAACTCACACAGATGGATTTCACAGGAGATGCAGGTGTGCACACTGCTTGACAAATACAGAGCTAGATTTCAACAGGAGGCCCAGGAGGATACATGTCACTTGACTCCAACACCCCCCATTCTTTCCTGCTTCTGGTCCTATGCAATGATATGGTTTAGCAAAGTTTTCCATCTGAAGACACTCTGCTAGAGGCATAGCACACACCATATAAATGGTTTTAAATGGTATTAAGCAGTAACAGTTATGAGAAATTCTCCTTCTAGTGGTGGGCAATCACAGGTCTACCACCCTGAAATGAATTTTGCTCCCTATAAGTTAGGATGGGGGTTTTTGTTTTTTAACCTCTATAGAAAGCACTGGTCCTAAAGATAAATGGAAGTAGAATCTCCCAAATCATTGTTTTGGGCTTATATGTCATTCTCTGATATCTAAAAGCTTTCAAATACACTGAGGGAAGAAGGTGGGAGGGAGAAGATGGTGCACATGTTAAAATAAAATTTTTAAAAAAATCAAACAAACAAAAAAAGCCCCATACAAATATTCATGGTATAAAATTTGTTTAACATTCAAGCACCCAGAAACCAGGGAAGTGAACTCCAGCACAAATTGAAAGTCAATACCAGCCTTTAGGACTATAACCACAATATATCTACTCAGCAAAGAGCTATTGATTTACCAAATTACTTTGCAGTGTGCAAAACAGTCACCTACAGCCAACCCAGCAATTTGGCAAGCATTTTGCTGGCCCCATCTGTAGAAAATCTCTGAGAAAAAAAAAGAGGTGTCTTAACACTCTCTGCAGCACAGCTGCAGACCATAAGCAATGGGAATGCCTTTGTTCAGACAGGGGACACTTGAAGACTCTTTGTAACTCTTGACGCACTTTAGTTTTGAAGAGTTCACCCCACTTCAGATATTCTTCCACTGAAGTAGATCAAGTACTGCATAGAAAAGGGGGTTAGATTTCAAATGGGCACCACCTCTTCAGAAGCAGACAGAAGCAAGTAAATTTGTATTCTTACCAAAAATTTACTTCTTTAATAATGGAAGCAAGTGCATATAGATCAAGCCTGCTTTTGCACTGCTTGTAACCCAGACCTACACTGTAGATGTAAAACTAGACAAGGAACATCCAAGTTTAATTTACTCAGCCATTTTTAATCCATGAGGCTGACCATAAAGCGTAAAAACCTAACAAATGGCTTTCAAAGTCTCATAGGAAGTTAGATGTGTAAACTGCATCAATTCAGATAAGGTAAGATATGACTAAGGTTAGATACAAAATATTTTCTAATACATTTGGCTGTACCCTTCCTCAGTGTAAGTTAACTTATTTCCACTGATTTCAGACTTAGCAATGTTTTGATTTCCCATATAAAAATAAACAATACTTCAAGCATCACTGTACATTCACATCTAATCAAACAATGGAACTGAAGCTTTCATGTGAAATTACTGTCAACCTGTCTGTTGCCATTTTGCAGTCCAGAACAAAGAAAGCTTTTGCTTTGCCTCTTTCCAGGTATGACCATGAATCCCCACTGAATGCAACTGGATGGTATCAAAACAACAATGACAAAAATCTGGTGTCTGTGCACCTGCTTGCTCTGATTGCTTCCAATTATCCTGAAGGAGCTCTGCATTTCTGGGAAGCAATTATTCCAGAGAATAACAATGGTTGTCACATATCTGCTAGGTAATCAAGGGCCTAGCCCAAGGAACCATCAAACCTCTATCACATCTTAACATCAAGTTCTGAAAACAGGGAATATAGTCACTTTTGGATGGGGGAAGACTGGACAAAGAAAGGGAAGGTCAGGGTAGAGACAGCACCCATAAATGCAAATAAGATGAAGGCAGAAAATTAACTCAAAACTCCTAGTTTGTTTTTCTTTTTTTCCTGCAAAAAGACAGAGACTGTATTGTTAAGACAGCCAGAATTACGTTAAATGTGCAGGCTGTGGAAAATGACCAATTATCGAACAACTCAAAAATGGAAGAAAAACTTGCTATTTATCATGACTGTTAGTTTATAAGGAGCAAGTAGACAAGTAAAGAATAAGAGAAATCTATTTCCTGTCTGTTTTACTGGCTAATTTGAAGAAGAAAAATAGAATGAGGAAAGAACAGAGAGGAAAAACAGAAGAAATAAACAGCAGGAAAAAAAGATGTCTAAAAAAATTCAGGGTCCTTTCCAAAACCTTCAAACTGAGAGCAGGTTGAAACCAATCTTGTTCATTACCTCAGCTGGCAGCTGCCATAGTTGCAGGCAGAAGTAAGGTGACCATAAGGGAAGGGCCACTTAGCAGTCTGGGTGCTCAGTGACTGCTAAATATGACAGTGTTTTTCTATGATATGGCTTATTTTGAGAAAAAGCTGCAGGATGTTCCCTTTTTAATATTTTTCAGTTACAACTCTCCAGTGTTATTAGGCAGTCTCTGTAACAGTAGTTAATGTATCTCTAAAGCTACAAATCTAACAAACATTAAGTGCCCTGCGTTTTGTTAAACGTAAAAGCAAACTGTGTGCTTCCCTTTTTCCCATGCCTGTGACCCTCTGTGCACAGAGCAGAACCATTGCAGCTCTGTCTTTTGGCATGTCACACAACACAGCTACTGCACAGCTGGACTTTGTTGTAGGCTGCCTCTCCTCAGGGAGGCGCACAGCAGGGCAGGAAACATTCCTCACTCCATGGTTACCTTGCTTTAAATCTGCATAAAAGACAGAGAGGCCCCAGGCTCTACTGCAGGCCATATGCTGCAGCAACAACAGAAGAGTAGCTGCATAGTCTCTTGGTGCCAAGTCACTATTAACTAAGAGAGAATTTCAGACCCTCCTAGATCCCATGACTGCAGCTTATTTACTTGGCTTTGGATGCATAGATATGAGATGCATATGGTCCCCATGGCCACTAACTAAGCTAGGAACAGAAATCAGCTTTTAAAAATAGGTAAACTTTGGAGACAGGAGAACAAAACAAGGCCATTCAGACAGTGCATACAGCTTTCCAAATGAGCTGGACCAGCAAAACTGTGCTCCAGAAGAGTCCTGAGCAACAGCATCATGTTTAAAGTCATGATGCTTTCAAGAGGCTGAAAAGAGATGAAAAAGACTAGAAGAGAGACAAAACAAAAATTTCTCAGGGATTTTTTTTCTCTCTGAGAGACAACAAAAACCAATTCCATGTACTTTGGCATCAACACCTGTTAAAAGAACAATTTAATTATGATAGAAAACAAGCAGCTCCACATATCCAGAGATCAGCACTAGCATACATAAGTATTATCTTTTGGCCTTTGTGAAGTGCCTGTGTTTCTCTCACTAAACTCCATCAGTACTACCTGGTCATTCCAAAAGAAATACCAATGATTCACACACACAGATAGATTGGATAACATTTCCCCAGAGAACTGGTCTAACAAGAAACAAAGCAGCAATGAGGTTAACTGTCAAAGATTACATCACAGCAGTTTGAGTTATATTTTGTGGTTAAAGTACCCCATGTCCACTAATGCGGAACTGATCAAAATGATCATCACAGCTGTAATGGGAAGAAGCTGCTAGCAGGATGCTTCTGCAAGGTCCCCTCCCCTGTACACAGGCAGTACCAGTTTCATGATTAGAAGGCAAAATTGTTAAGAGGAAAATAAGTTACAGAATGCAAACTTTCAGCTTATTTCAAAACTACTGAATACTGGCTTTGCTATATCAAGTTTTTAAAAATTGAAGAAGTATGTTCTCTGTAGCGGAAACTATTTGCACAAACCTAAATTGTGTATTATGATTGCTGATGGACTCTTCAGTGTTGTCTTAAAGCATCACACACAAATTACTCTAAACGTCAGAACAAATTAGAGAGCTTCCTCTGCCTCCCTGAGTGACTTTCATCTCTAATGTTCTCATTTCTCCCTTCTAGATCAAGTGGCAGAACTGGGGCTCATTTAGCCCTAGATAAAGCACACTTCTCCAGGCTGACAGAATTGCAGTTTACACTGTAATTTAAAACAACTTTACCCACCTACATTAATGAACAAACCAATCAATTACTTACTGTTCTTCTTGTACATCAAGATTTCAAAGGAGTTCATCTCATAGTTCTCAAATGTTTGCCGGACCTTGTCAATTGTATCTTTGTCTGTCAGCTCTCCATACATAAAACTGTGAATAAAGCAAGAAATTCAAGTCAGATACTAAAAAAAAGACACAAAGCAATTTGTTTACAGTGTGAAAAGGACCCCCCCAGAAATAGCTCTTATTTGATTTTCTTTCACCTGGAAAGCATATTTGACAGATGTAGCCCCAAGAGATAAAAGACAAAACTGGAATAAACAGATTATTTTTCTCCTCAAGCAATAAGCACAACACTACAAGCTATTTAACAGAAAATAAATCTGTTCTCAAATACCTGCAGGTGCTGCTTTTTTGCATAACTTCTGCTCTGTGATATCCCGATAACTTGCAAAATCCATCGTTGCTGTAGACAATGGGCCAATCCACTATCTGGGCATTACCCAAGACAAAATTAGTATCTGTTTGAAAAAGCACATCAGTTAGACATTAGACAAGGCTATGGTTGCATTAGAGGAAATACCCATTTCAGGACCCACTACCAATTGCTTCAGTCCCTGCACGATTTTTCCCAGATATTCCCACTGCAATCAACATTATTATTCCTGGTTTTAATTTTAAGTAAATTCTTATTTTTAAAAAAGTATTAATTAGTTTTACAAAAGTATAAAAGCATAAAAGGATGGGTTTATGCAAATAAAACACATGATGATCAAGCAGGTAAAATTCATCTCTTGACAGAAGACAGATTCCCTCTGCGCCCCATGCACTGATCCACCATGACACTCAAACTGAATGTGAAGCCTCTAACAGTGGCCAAGCCAACACATGAGCAATATTCCTCCTCTCTGAATGCAGACATCGTGGCTCCTCTCAATTCCCTTCACTGGTGGCCACACAAGGTCAAATACTTCATGTGCGAGGGGTACAGCACAGCACTCCCAACGAGACAGCCAAGAACCAAGGTTAGCGTTCATATCAGTAGAAGGAACTTTCTGTTTGCAATGCAAGCCAGAAGGAGTTTCAATCAGTAAGAAAAAAACCTAAGCAGGATTCACACCTCCATTCTCACTGGATCTGCCCGTGACACTTTTTTTATGACTGCTATCTCAAAACTACACCTGTGCCAAGACAGACAGCACTGCTGCTGCCTGAGCGCTGGCAGGCAGAAGGAGGTGGTAGTTCTTCTCCCAGCTGCAAAGACCTTCTGGCTTTTGAAAGAAATGCTGGGCAGCCACATGAGATCAAGAGACATTCATATTTAAGGGGAGCCTTTAAGGGAGTCCACCACACTGTCTGCTTTTCAGGATCTGCCCCTAACTGCTCAAACCTACATAGGCATCATCAATGCCTCCTGCAAACACAAGCAAGACATTTTACCTATTAATTGAAAAGAGTTATGTTTATTTTAACTTCCTCTTTCAAAATCTTTCACCCCATTGCAAACTTCAAGTGAGTTTAAATAAAACATTCCTGTAACTATCTAAATCCATTGGTCAATTCCATAAGCATGACTAAGTGTATCTTGATACACTCTTTAGAATTAAATACACCAGTAGTACAACTTCAGGACATTTTAGTTGCTTTGTTTCTCACAGCCTCTTTTAAATACCATAGTTTTTGCTTTCTTCTTTGGAAGAAGCACTTTCTTCCAAAAACATTACACGTCTTTTATCCTTTCCCAAGAATAAGCTGTCATTTCTCATTGCTTAAGCAAGTGCTTTTGAATGTCTATTATAAACACTATGTTATACTGTCTTAGGATATTTTTAAATTTCATCAGGAAGTACAAAAAAATGACAAAAAAGTATGCAAATACAAATGTTAGGCCAGGTCCTGCCCTGATCTGAATGGTGTTATTTCAGGCATTAATTCCTTCCCACTGTCTCCCCTTCTCGAAAGGTAACTTTCCCTTCACTCCGTTTCCTAAAGAGTTTCTATTAAGCATTTGCCTGCCTTTCACTTAAACCTCACTGTCTTCAGATAAATAATCTCTTTTTGTTTTTATTGAAGGCTACATAGGGCACATTTTTGATGGCCATCACTGTGTTAATCCTACTTTTATCTAGCCTTGCAATGCTTCTATGAGATACAACAGCGCTCTTGCCCCCTTTTTACAGGTAAAAGCAAAAACCTAAGTCCAAAAGAGGATTTAAGCACCAAATGGTGAGACTGCAACAGTCTAGCCCCTAGATGCCTGGCTCTCAAAGACTTTGTAGCTGGATGCTCTGTGAGTAGTGATGGAGAGGAGAGCTGAAAAAATTAACACAGCAAATAGAAACCTGCCCAAGTTAAACCACAGAATATAATGGAAAAAGGGGTATATTTTAAGGCTGGGTTTTTTCCCCTTTCCTACATTACTTACAATACCTAATATTTTAACATAAACCCAGGTCTCACAGACAATACAAAGATTCTTTGCCATTACTGCAGAAGCTAAAGAATCACATTCCCACTTCCTTACATTTTGGCCCATTGAAGCCCCCCCTTTTTTGAAATGGCAGTTTCCAAAGGATGCACAGAAACCATGCACACATTTCCCCCCTCCAACAGCAGTTAGGACACTCTCCTACAAGATGCAGGGCTACCTGAGGGCAATGAAAGCTCAGCCTTTATTTCAGCTCCTGAATGACTTATTATCAAGCTACCAAAGAGAACAGATGTCAACATCCTCACCATATGAGTTTTTAAGTCAGTCTGACTTGGCCACCGTACTTTATGCACTCCTACGAGGCAACCCTGTTAGTCTACACTGGGTGAGCCTCTCTGGGAGGTGGAGGTAGAATGTTTCATCAGAGAGTCCAGGCTGGGCTTAGTTGTGAGTTACAAGCAATCTGAGAGATCTTTACGTACCTACAAAGCTTTAAAGAAAAAATCTTGGGCACCAAACAATTCAAAGAACAAGACAGGTTTCGACAATCCCACTGTTTCCTAAGTGTCTCTCCCTTCCAGCTAGTTCCCACTTCATGCATCTTTGCCTTTCTTTGATCCAGGTTTTACATAGCTGACAAATGTACTGCATTTCTTCAGAAAGAGTGTCTCCGACAACGCTGTTAAGCCTGTGTGAAAACTGGCAAGACACAGCATACAATAAGGACTCCCACTTATAACACCCCTGCATAGTTTATTCTGACAGATAACCCAGAGGTAGAAGGGCTGTCCTCATTGCTATTGTTTACATTCAATTGCATTGACGTTCTTGACAATGTGCTGCTTGGAGACAGCTCATAATCTGTTAAAAAATTGTTTCTAACATAAGAAAATATTAGATAACATCCAGTGAGGCAAATATTGCCACTCCATCCATAGGGACACAGGGTCCCAGAGGCCAGGAAACAGCTGTGGCTTTGTTACACAACAAGCATGAGGGATGCTCTAGTGAACTCTGAGCATCACAGGGAAGAGCCTCTTGGGGATTCACAAGTGGGTCAACAAGGCCAGGAAATTAGTTGATCGGGAGGACCATGAAGAAATCCACTGCTAAAGTCTCTTCAAAGACACTGGTGAAATGGACATGTGATAGCTGCAGTACTCAAACTATTTAGTGATTTTAGGCACCTCTTTGAAAGGACTCAATGGACTCCCTTACCAGGAATTCAATTTCTATCACAATGGCAATTGGATTAGCAGTATTGCCTGTCCCAAGGAGAAGCTGTAAGCATCATTGGCCCTTCTTATGAGCTCCAAGATGAACTGAGCAAGAACTGGAGGGGGCAGGCTCATGTAAAAGATCTACAGTTCTGGCTTGTGTTGCATCTGGCACAGTCTGAGCAAGACCATTGGGAGGCAAGGAAACATGTAGAGTTGCAGCACAAAACACATCGCGCTCCAGAAACACAAGTAAGAACTGTAGCACCACAAAGGCAGCACAGTTACTTGCATGAGTAGGGCAGGCTTCTGTGATGAGAGCCTGCAGCACCAGTTCCTTTGTGAAGTGCCTCACTTCATATTTTCTAGCCTGCATTTTCTACAGGTCAGTTCTGCTCACTGCAGACACCCTCATGTCAGCCTTTACACACTCAAATGTCAGATCTGTTTTGGATTATCACTTTAAAGTAGATATGGCTGCTTTAAAGCACCCAGAAAAGTATTTTAACTCCTTTCAAAGTGTAAGAATGGATTTCACTCAGTCACTGAAACCAGTACTTTCCTCCACTCAGAAAACAAACCATTACAGAAGAATCAGAAAATGTCTTCCCAAATAACATTGGTCCTTTAACAACAGCAATAGCAAGTCTCTAGAACAACTCTTCACTAAAACTAATGTATCTACTGAATCCTATGTTATATATAGTGCTTTGTTTAACCAAAACTATCCATCAGCTCAAACTTCAAAAATGCCTGAAGACAAGGTGCACTCATAGACATGTGTCTGGCCAGAACTAGCTGGCTGAGGAGAGGTCACCTCCTTGCAAGAGCATGGAGCAAGTGCTTCCTCCCAACCATTCCCCTGCACAGCTACACATTCATATCCATTGCATCCCAGCCTCTCCTGTAAGGTGGACCTCGCCAAGCCCAGATCCCCACCTTGTTCCGCAGGCTAGCCCACCAGTTCTGCCTTCCCTGTCCCTTCAGTGACGCACAGGTCCTCTTCTGGGATGCACTGTCAGAATGTCAGAGACCAGTAGCCAGACCTATTCTCACAGCACTGCCAGACACGTTCCCTCCCACATTGCAGACATGTTCCCACATTGCACAGAGGAAGCCAAGTGGAAACCTCTGCTCAGGGGTTTGTAGTGCAGACCTTGGTGATAACAAAGGCTGTTGCCCACTGCACCATCACATATGTGGGTCTGTCAAAGCTGCCACAAGTGTGCTCAGGTTTGTGTAGTGCACAAACGTAATTTAAATATATTAATATCTTTTCCCCACAGTCAGCACACAAATACAAAACTCAAAAGGTTTGCTCCTAATTTATCCCCCTCTCAGTGAAGGGAGATCCAGGCTCGCTGTGGTGGGAAGACCTGCTCCTCACCAAACTTGCTAGTTCTCCTATCAGTCTCCGACAGAATAGGAATTGCCCTCCTACATAGCACTGGTTACTGAGACCAGCAGGTCACTTTTTATCAAGTCTCAAACTCCTCTCATGGATCTTGAGCGGAGCAAACCTAGACCCCTAGCATTACCACGCACAAATCACTTCTACAGCAGAACTAAAAGAACTGCTGAGTACATATGTTTCTTACCCTACTCATGGTCACTGGGAACAGTGGGAGAGATACAATCTCCTTAGCTACTGCCCCCTTAGCTGGGCACAAAGCTGCACAGGTGCTATGTCACAGCCAGTTTAAGAATAAGAGGCAGACAAACATCCAAACAATTCTGCTGTTTACAAACTTGTGACTTTGCATCACAAACAGACATGGGGAAAAGAGACACTGCTTCATTTCTGTTTAATTTTTTCCCAATACATGGAAATCAAACTTTGTTTGTATGTAGTCCTCTCAAAATTGCTACCAAA